CACGAAATTCTCTTGCTTATGTGCTTACTTCATAAAGCCTGCCATCCTCCATTGGAACTTCAGGAACAGACACCTTGCCTGCCTTGTTGGTTGCGGCATTAGTGTGATTGAACAGAGTTCCCGGGATCTGCTTACTCACTCATTCAGTAAATATATGTTGGAGGGAGAGGGCAACTCTATGGCCATGAGCAATTCCAGATTCTGAGGATACAAAGAAAAGACAAAGATTCCTGCCCTTGTGGAATCTATAGGAGGTATAATTGAATTGGAGATCAGAAAGCCCGGGATTAGAATGAGAAGGCTGAGATTACTGCACCTCAGACCATGGGGATTGCCTTAGAGGTGATGAAAAGTGGTAAGGTTCTGGATGTATTTCAGAAGGGTAGGGGCAGAGTCTGGTGAAGGGTGTATGAGGAAGAAAGAAAACAAGAAGGATGAGTTCAAGGGTTTTGGCCTGAAAACTGGAAAGATGGAGGTGCTGTCTGCTGAGATGGAGAAAGCTTCAAGAGAAGAGGTTGAGGTGCCCGGAGCTCAATTTTGGTCATGTTACTTTGAAACATTCATAGACATCAGGTGACGCTGTGTCCAAGACAAGGAGACCATTGGGTCTGTGGTGGAGGCTGAAGAGGTGGGATGCATGAAGCCCTAGGACCTCCGTGGAGGTGTGTGGAGGGAGCAGGCAGAGGCCCAAAAGATGGAGCTCATGGACTTTCTTATTACTGGGGAGGCTGAAGAAGCAACAGAGGACAGGAGGGCTAGAGGGGACCACCAGGGAGGCAGCGGGTAGGGAGAGGCTGGGGTCCCGAGAACTACAGGGGAAAGATGGGAGGGATAGGTGAGTCCAGTGCCGTGAAAGGGGGACTGACTGTTGGTGTTGGCTTTGATGACCTTGGTTGAGTGACAAGAAGTGTAAAGAATGGGAGGGGACACAGACAGCAGAGAAAAACCTGCGGAGAAATGGGGAGCTGGAGGATGAAGAGGTAGTTTTCTGACATTTTAAGAGATGAGCAAGGTAGAAAGTGGTTAGTGATCTAATGGACTCTGAGGTAGCATCCTTAACTCTGTTTTGAAGATAATGAAACCAGGGCACAGAAAGCTTAAGTAAGTTGGGGAGCAAGGGTTAAAGCCACCCAGAGTGCACTGGGGGAGGGGACTGTCTTTCTGCCTTGGGATTGGGAACTTCAGCCCCCTGAAGTAGAGCTTGGGCACCATTGTACAAGTCCTCCCTATTCCATGGGCCACCGCCAAGGCCCCTTCCCAGTCATCTTCTGCAGAGTATCAAACGAGAGGACTGCCAGCTACTATGAGCCTCTGACTTCTGCCCTCCCTCACCTCCATAGGTTTGCCCACCTATAGCCATGGGACGCAGGAAGTCAAAACGGAAACCACCCCCCAAGAAGAAGATGACAGGCACCCTGGAGACCCAATTCACCTGTCCTTTCTGCAACCACGAAAAGTCTTGTGACGTGAAAATGTGAGTAAGGGGCTGGGTGAGGCCTCCTGCCCCACTGGGTACCCGAGTCTCTCCCCTTTGCCTGTAGTTCTCCATCCTGCCCCAGTCCTCCTGTTTGGGGGGTCACCAAGGACTTATTGCTCATCATTCTCTCCACCTCACTGTATCCCATATCAGGGACCGTGCTCGCAATACTGGAGTCATCTCTTGTACCGTGTGCCTAGAGGAATTTCAGACGCCCATCACATGTATCCTTGGAAAATGCAGCTTTTGGCTGGGAGGGGCGGGGGTAATCAGAGCTGTCCTGCCCAGGGTGGGCTAATTAGGGGCAGATCGCTAAGGGTGAAGGGGCTGGAGTCCATCCCTACGCCTCCAGCCCCACTGTGGCCTAGCACAGGGCCACTGCCACCCAGAAGAATGGGTGCCACTGGCTTACATATGGTAACAAGATGAAGGGCAGGGGTCTGTCTGCCACTAAGTTGAACAGAGGTATATGGGGCAGGGGGTGTCCAGTACCACTAATTGTCCTTGACCTCAGCAATTCAGATTTGTCAGAACCAGTGGATGTGTACAGCGATTGGATAGATGCCTGTGAGGCAGCCAATCAGTAGCAACACAGAGGACCCACCCCTTGGTGGCCCTGCCTGCCACGGACCCACCTGCCGGGTCCCAATCCAGAGACATTCCAGGGGTTTAGGGTGTGGGTCCAGAGCTGTGTGTATGGAATGGGTGTGAGTGTGAGTGAGCTGGTGTGGCTGCAAGYATGGCTGTGTGCACGTGGACTTGGGGTGGAATTGAGGGTCTCCTGKGCCTGAGAGGCCCAAACTGGCCTCATTTGGCTCTAGACTCCTTTGAACTGCTCCATTCTCCAGCCCCAGCCTCCTGTGGCTTTGGAGTCCTGGCTCCCTCGGGGTAGGTTCCTGACATCCTGGGCAAGAGAAGCCACCAGAATCTGAAGCGGGACCTCCCTGGACTCCTCACCCACCTCACCAGCACCTCACCTGTGTGAACAGAATTTCCCRCCCTTCTTCCCTTCCTCCCAGTGCCTGTAACTGGGTGTCAGAGCCATGTTCCCCAGGTCCCTTGGCTGGGCCTCGGTAGGAGGCCAGCTCCCCTGTGCTAACTAGGAAGCTCTGTGTTAATGTGAGCTGCTTTTATAGAGGAGGCAAGGAACGGTGTGGGGATAGCTGTCAATCAACCAGCCCTTCAATAAAGCAGCTCAGGCAGATCCTGGCTGGCTGTGATTTCTTGGCTTCTGTGTCTACCCCAGCGCCAGAAGAGGAGGTGGGATTTAGGGTGAGGCACTTAAGAGGTAGCGGTCACTGGTTGGAGGTGGGGTTCTGACAGTCCTTCAAACGGTTCAATATTTCATTCATTCATGAAGCATTCAGGGTGAAACGGGCAATGCTGGGTGCATAGGATGGAGCAGACACATCTGGCCAGGTGTTTACAGAAGTCACAGTGAAAACCCTGGGGTATGGGAGGTAGTACAGAGGAGGCAGTGTTCAAGGCCACCCCATACCTGACCCTGCTCTCAGGGCTTGTTATTTCCATGTCCCAACAGCTGCCCTGTGAGATGGGTGCAAAGTAACCCTAGGTTTACAAATGGGGAAACAGGCCTGAGAACTAGGAGGCCACTGAGGTCCCTCAGCCAGAAAGACATAGCTGTGTCTTGAACTCGGGCTGGCTCCACGGCCTGTGATCTTCCTTATAAGTCCAGGGAACAGCAGTTGATGGGATGTTTTGGGGGCTGTGGGCAGGGGCGGAACCCTGGAGAAACATACTGGTTCCACTGAGAGGACCTGTTTGCAAGGCTGGCGGGGAGTTCAGAAGACTGTGGATAGATGTGCTTTGTTCATGATGTGCACCTGCCCTCAGAGGGTCTTAAGGGTGGCAGGAGCCCTGACCCTGGTAACCTGGGCAGATCCAGCACCTGAACTTGGCCTCATGGAACCTGGGCAGCAGGTGACCTGGCTTCAGAGTCCTCAGTGGTACAGAGGGAAGGATGTAAGAAATTTCTGGGGCTATGCAGAGGAGGGAATGGACAGGGAGAGTGCCTGGCACTGTTCAAACAGCTCCAGTGCCACTCAGGGCAGGGACAAGAGCACAACCAAGGAAGGTTCAGCTGGCCTGGAAGTCCTAGCCGCCATGCACTGTGCAGTGACGAACCCCTCCCTGACACTTCTACCTTCTCTAGCGCCTCGGGTAAGGTCCCCTAGACCTGGAAGGAGATAGAGGACCCAGGCAGCATGGTAGACAGGCCCCTGAGTTCAGGAGTACCAAGATCCAGCTGAAAGGGGTCTTGTTCCTTTGGCACCCAGAGCCCTCCCTGTCACCGGCCCACCCTAGCCTGACAGACCAAGTGCTAATATGGTGCTGTTTTCCTAAGGAGGCAGGGCCCTGGGCCAGGCATGGATCCTCCTCAGCATAGCTTCCCTGCGCCGCCCTGGGGGGAGCAGATCTTGTGGTCACCAGGCCAAGAGTGCCTGGAATCTGGTTTACGAGGCCCCAGGGACTGTGTGCATCTACATGAGGGACTTCTGGTGTCTGTCTCTGCAGGTCCCCACATTCCAGCCTCAACCTCTGTCCTTATGGGGGAGTGAAGAGGGAGGGGAAGAAGACTGCTCTGGGTCCCCCTCCCATTCTCTGCATTCTCCCCTTAGCACCCTGTGACTGGTGTCTTGCAGGCAGGAGGGCTGGACCCTCCTCACCAGAACAAGGCGCCCTCTGAAGGGTGAAGTGGTTGGAGCCCTGTCCACAAACTTAAGGTCCTGGACTGACAGGCCTATCCACAAACTTAAGGTCCTGGGACTCAGCCTTAAGAAGGCTAGGAGCAAGTGAGGCAGAGAGGGGCAGCTGTACCCTGTGGCAAGCCACTCAGCAGCTCCATGCCAGTCAGTAGGACATTGCCTTGTCCCCATAGGACCAATCTTCACTTCCCCCCAGTCAAGCTGAAGGGGTTGTCCTTGCCCACGAGTACCACCAGGACCCTTGCATGTCATTTCATTTAAGCTTCCCCTGACCCTACAAGATTCACTGTTCTATTTTTCTTATGAGAAAACAGGCTGTGCCCAAGGTCACTGAGCCAGCAAGCAGCAGAGTCACATCCCAACAGTGTCAGCACTCGGTCTTCCTCGCTACCACCCATCTGTCCACAGGAGGGTGCGTGCATGGATACTGTGGTGTGTGAGGCTGTGCGTGTATCACCATTCTGGTATTTCTTCTTTGTGGTGCTGGGGGTGGAACCTAGGGCCTCACACATGCTGGGCAAGGGCTCTACCACCAAGCTCCACCCCAACCCAATATTTGCCATTTCACATGTCGCTGGTGGCAAGTGTGGACTACATGTGGGTGCACATCTTGTGTGCAAGGTTAGGAGTGCATGTGGATGTTGCCCTAGACACGGTACCTGTCCTATGTCTAGTGGACTGAGGTCCCTGTGCATTCCTTGGGGCAGGTATGTGGGTGCAGGAGATCTGAGCAAGGTTGTTTGCATATGTGCGAGAGCCACACGGGCTCTGGGACAGAGCAGTTCCAAGCCTCAGGTGATTTTACAGCATTTATTGTGCTCCAGTGAAATAGGAAAAAAGTGCTCGCGTTACAAACGCTGCTGTCACATCCGCGTACGCCAGTCTCTGCAAACCAAACCGCGTGTGTCCGCTGCGTCTCTGGGCATGCAGTTTGCTCCCACTGTGGGAATGGGCTGGGGGCAGGCGGAGCCTGGGCTCTGGGGGCTTGGTTTGGGGGCTTCTGGTCCTGGGGGTACCCACTTGTGAGGGAGTGGGGGACAGCTGGAATAGCTTTGCTCAGTGCATCGTCTGGGTGCTTTCAAGGACACCCAGCTGTAGGTTGGACCCTGCAGTGCCACAGGGAGGATGGCCCCCTTCCCTCACAGGTCCCCCAGTCTGCACTCCCCAAATTGTAACCCTATCGGCAGGTGCCAGGGGGCTGGAGGACGCCATGCAGGGGGACAGGGTTGGCTGGAGCCGGTTGGGTCCAGCCAAGAGCAGCAGCCAGCCTCCTGGGGGGCCCTAGGCAGAGTTGTAGTAGTTATGTGCGTGGTGGTTTGGGGTGGGCTCACCCAGCTCCGGGTACTCTGGCGTCAGGCAGTACTTGGGGTCATAGACCTGGCGCGGTAGCCCATACACCGTCATGCCCCTCTGTGAGGCCCCCTTGTTGCTGCCCATCTGCAGGCTGACAGTCTGCATGTCACAATGCTCCATGCCCAATGCTGGCTCGAAGATCTGTCTCTTGGTCCCGGGTGCAGTCATACCGGCCTACATAGGACAGAGTGGTCAGGCCGTGGTTACCATGAGGACCTGGCCAGTGTGACCAACAGCCCCCTACTCACCTGGCTGGCTCCCTTGTTGGTGCCCATCTGCAGGCTGATGGTGGCCTGGTCCAGGGGCTGGTCTGTGCCCAACTTGGGGTCATAGAGGTGGCGCCGGGTACCATAGGCTGTCATGCCTTGCTGGCTGGCAAACTTGTTGGTGCCCATCTAGGAGACCAGAAAGAGACACACCAAAGATTACAAAGTCTCCACGTGGGCCATGAGACAGCTGATGTCAGATCATGAGGCCCTGCTTCCTCCCTTGGTTTACAAGCTAGAAAATGAGAATCAGTGGGCATAGCACACAACCAATATTTTGGGTTCCCAATTCTCATCAACTGGGCCATCCTGGCAAAAGTAGGCTAGCAGCTTCTCCAGGCCTGGGGGTCGGGGGGGTGAAGAGTGTCTGGCCCCTTGGTCTGTTGGCAGAGGGAGTGAACACGAGTGGAAAGGGCTAAGCAAGGTCCTGGCCTAGTGTTAGTTAATGCCGGATGTCCTGCCCCAGCAAACCTCCAGGCACCAGATGCCCTCCCTCCAGGAGGGCATTGACCTCCCACTCAGCGCAGCAGTGAATGGGGAAGGGGCAGTACCTGCAGCCCAATGATGTTCCGACCTTCTCTTAGCTTCTCTGGCTCAAATTTCCGCTCTTGCTTCTCCGCATACTTCACACCCACATTCACCTTGTTTCCCTTCGTCTTGGCCTGGGTGGGGCCAGGAGGACAAGGACTGACAAGGGAGCCTCTAGCAGGCTGCGTTGTCCCCTGGGAGACTTGGCAGGTCACCCGTCCTCCCATGTCACCCATTCTGGGCTTGATGGCACAAGTGGCCCCGCATGCAGCCCAGCCTAGCCCAGCCCTATCCTGTGCCCACACTGCCCCTACACTCACCATGCTGGCCAGAGCCAGGAGGGTGGACTGCACCTGGGTGTGGTTGGTGTTCTCAAACAGGTCGTTGGCTTCAAAGATGTCGTGGGGCTTCACTCCATACTTGGTAATGGCCTTGATGAAATTGCCAATGTTCTCCAGCTGGAGGGGAGCAGGCAACATTAGAGGTGAGAGGGGGAGGGCTGAGGGGCTTGTGGACAATGGACCAAGAGAAGTTGCCTCTGGGCTTACCTGGTGCCAATTTTGGGTTGATTCGTTTACCTTCTTCACAGAACCTGGCTGGAGCTTATTGATGAATCTACAAAGACAGGAGGGGGGTCCGGGGTGAGCCCTTGCTGCTCCCAGCAGGCCAGGCAGGTGGGATGAGCACACTCAGGGCGAATGGGAAACCAACCACAGGGAAAGTGGACTCAGGTCGCCAGCCACAAAGTCCCCATGTCAGGATCTCCTGGTTTTCCTATGGCTTCATTGGTGGCCACATGTGTCTCAGTTTCTTTTTCTCTCGTGGACACAGCGGGGAACCCACATGGACCTCTTCGCTGACCACACTCACCCCCTTGGTGATCTCATCAGTATCCCCACTTTCAGTGCCCTCCATGTGCCAGTGATTCCCCAGTGGGCAAGGCCAGCAGCCCAGGCCTCTCGCTCTCCAGCCCTCCCTCCATGGGAGCTCCAATCTGCTCAAATCCAGCACCCACCACCCCAGACTCCTGATATACACATCTGCTCACCAATCCCTCCTCCCTCTGTCTTGGCTCAGTAAGCAGCAATTCCCACCTTTCCTGGTGCTCAGCCAAATTACTTGGACTTGACTTCCCCTTTCTCTTCGGCAGCAAGTCCTTGGGCTCTGCCTTCTAAATGCACAAGGAAGCCCACCCACTTGCCCGCTGCCCCTCACCACCCCTACCCTGCTCTGAGTCCCCAGCGCTTCTGCTGGGCCCTTGCAGTGGCCTCCTGTCCGTGGGCTCCCAGCTTCTACCTCCTCCTTCACAAACATTTGGCCTTTTTAGTTTTTCCTTGTTAAGTCGGGAATGGAACCCAGGCCCTTGTGCATATTAGACAAGTGCTCTGCCACTGAGCTGCACCCCAGCCCTTTACATAGTTATTGATGTATTTTTGAGGCAGGGTAAGTTGTCCTAACACTCAGTTGCTGAGGCTGGCCTCAAACTTGCCATGCTGCCTCAGCCTCCCGAGTAGCTGAGATTACAGGCAAGACATTGTGTCAGACAAGAATGACCTTTTATTTTATTTACTTATTTTGCTGTGCAGGGGATCAAACCCAGCCTATGCTAAGCAAGCTTGTTCTCTACCACTGAACTACATCCCCAGCCCCAAAATGGCCTTTTAAAAGCAATTCAAGGGCTAGCATTCATGAGGCCTTGGGTTTGATCCCCAGTGACACACACACACACACACACACATTAAGTTACCTTCCAGTTCAAAATCCCATACTGGATTCTCATTGCCTTCAGTATAAAGTCTGAATTCCTCTACATGACTAACAGACCCTGTATCACGTGGCCTCCAGTTAACCTGATGACTTTACCTCCCTCCATTTCCCCACGCTGAGTAAGTACCAGCATGCTACCTTAGGGCCTTTGCTCTGTCTGCTCTGCTCTGCTTCCATTGTTCTCCCAGGTCTCCTGGCTCCCTCCCTCGCTTCATCCAGAACTCTGTTCAATGTTACCTCCTCAGAAAGGCCCTCCAGACCACACTAGGAGAGGACTTCCACTCCGCCTGGGGCCCTCCCACCCCACTTCCCACTGATTCTTCTCCTTGGCACTTATCAGCAAGTGTGTGATTGTTTGATCAATTCTTTGATCTCTCTCAGTAGGATTAAAGCTTCCTATCAGACTCCATCCAAGTGGATCTGGTTCACTATCCCTGTGCCTAGACCAGAGCCTGGTACACAGCAGAAGCTATAAATGCTTATTGCATGAGTGGATTATGGATGGGTTGGTTAGCTCTGTATTCTTTTCTTCTTTTTTGGCAGTGCTAGGGGTGCAACCCAAGGCCTCTTTCATGCAAGGAAGGCACTCTACCACCAAGCTGCACCCCAGCCCTCGCTCTGTACTCTTGAGACTCAAGCAGCGCTCATGAGGTGGGACACCAGCATGGATGGAGATGGAGCAAGATGGGCACCCTTACTTCTCCTTCTCAGCACCTAGGACTCCATAGTCTGCACTTTTGGAAAGCTCAAGGGCAAGCTCTGGCTCTCGTGGTCACCGGCCTGGGGGCCTGGACCAGACACAGAGAGGCACACAAGACCCCAGCTGGGCTCAGGCCCCATCCAAGGAAGGGGATGGGAGCTTCGGAACTGAGGGTTTTCATTTCCCTTGGCAGCGCGGTTCTGAGGGTAGTAAAATTATCATGGCTCATGCCCATCACCAAGCGCATGATGAACAGTCATGGTTGCCCCTGCCTTTTAACGGTCACCTCTCTTTCTTGGGATGCTGGAGACCATAAATTGACATACCCTGTAAAGCTGCTGGTTAAGATTCTGGAATCATTTCCCTTGTGACACCATGAGACTTAGAACAATGTGTCTCACCTGAGCCTCAGTTTTATTTGCCTGTTAAATGGGCACAGTGATTCTTTGCCAGCTCAGAGGACTATTTGGAGATATCAGCTATAAGGTGGTCAGCCAAGCTCCAGGCTCGTGGTCATTTGAGGGGGTTTGAGGGGCTACAGGGACTTGGGTGTGGAGTCGCTGAAGGTAAGGTCTGTACCACAAGAGCGCCACTCACTCGCAAAGGATGATACCATCTTTGAGGCCATCCATGAAGTTGTTGCCGATGCGACGTCCCGTCACCCCCTCGATCCACTCTCTCAGCTCCTGTTCCCGCTGGTGGTCATACTTCTGGGCCAGCTGGGGGTTAGGGGCACAGAGAGGGTGGTGAGGACACAGGCAACGGAGGACAGCTTTGGCTCCCTGAGTCTGATTCGAGCCTCCCCAGGCCTGATCTCCTTCCTTGCCCCATCCCAACTAAGGTAATTCTATCCCAGTGTCCATGGGGGCGGGGGCTAGAAAGGGGCTGAGGGCCAGGGCTGAGGTGGCACCTGCCCAGGGGGCCATTCCGGGCATTCTGAGGTTTGGCATCAGAGAATGTAGACAAGGAGGCGGGTGGAGAGCTGGATCCTCAAGCTGGGGGGTGGCGCCTGGCCTCCTGGTTCCCCCTCCAGGCCAAACTTGGGGCTTAATTTCCCTTGGCCCTGCCCCCTCTACTCCCATTTGGGAAGAGGGGGTGCCATAGGCAGGGGAGGGGGAAAGTTACAGAGCTGGGTGCTGACTTTTAGGGAGCATACTCTAACATCTGTCTCTCCGTGTCTCTCTGGGTCTTCTGCCCCCAGGCTCTCTGCCAGGCTAGAAGTGGGGGGCTTGCCTTGTCTCACTTCTGATCCTTGGGTCCCTGTACTTCTGTCTCTTTCTCCAATCCTCCTCTCCTCAGGCTCTCCCGGACAACCCCAGTTCTGTGTGTCCTCCTTGGGCCCAGTTTCCAGGTCCCCATCTCTGTAGCTAGTTCCTGGCCAGCCAGCACCCTGCAGGTCCATTTCTCCGGCTCTGACTTCAGGTTTGCTGGCTCTGGTGGGGGGTGGGGCTCCTCAGTCTCCCCTCCCCGCCTCGCTCTTATCTCGCTCCTGGCTCGCCCTCCCCGTCTGTCTCTCGGGTGTCTCAGGATCCCAGTATCTCCGTCTACTTTCCCCCTCCTTCCCTCTCCACTTGCCCCCACTCCCACGTCTCTAGAATCCTCCAGCCCAGCCAGGCTCCCAGCCCCCCCCCCCCCAGGAATCGGGCGGCCCCTTCCCCTGGGTGGGGAGGAGGGAGGTGGGAGGGGACGGCCCCTCACCTGGCCCGGGTCCTGCCGCCCCCCTCCCCACCAGCTCGGCTTTATAAAGCAAACCCGCCCTTATATAGCGCGGCCCGGGCTCCCTGAGGCCGCCTTATATGGCGCGGCGGCTCGATGCGACTCCGGGCCGGCTCTGGGGGGAAGGGGGCGGCGCCGGGATCGGACTCCCGCCAGAGCACCCGCCCCCTGCCGCCCCTTCCTCCAGCCCGAGGGTCCCGAAACCCAGGTTCTAATCCCGTCCCGCTCCCTTGCTGTGGGACCTGGGAAAAACCGTCCTGAGCCTCAGTGGTCCCCTCTGTCAAATGGGGCTGGAACTTCTGCCCTAGTGACGCCGCGGGAGCGTTCCGGTGGGATGGGGCTTCAAGTGCCCTATCTTGGAGAAGCTGACTCCATTCTGGCGTGCATGGGGTGGGGAGGTGAGTTCAGAGTCCCAATTCTGTGCCCGCCTTAGCTGGGACCTCAGTGAACCCATCCATAACGTGAACATGGTATCCTGGTGTCTGCCTAGCACTGCAATTAGGAACCCCCCTGGGGGGTCTGACGCCCACTTCTCCACCCCAACCATCTCCTTCCTGATCTCCCACACTTTCTTCACGTCCCAGGAAACCAGCTGTCAAGGGTTCTCAATTTCTTTGTCAGGCTGGGGGCTGTGAGAAAAATCAAGTCTTCCCTCTGTGTCCTGCCAGGAACACCAGAGGTTGACAAAAGACTTCCATCAGGTGGCTGGGTGCCCCCATCCCACTCTCCAAAAGTATCTGAGGGCTCTGGGGTGTTCACAAGAGGCAGAAAGCCAGAACTACCCTGTACCTCTCCCTCTTCCCGTCTCAGGTTCCCGGTCACATGGGATAGGCAGGAGGGGGTTCAGGGAACCCTAAGAGAGGGGCTTGTGGCCTGGCAGAGTGTGTGGGCCAGTCTTACCTTGTTCTTGACCTCAGCTGACAGCCCGTAGGCGGGGCCTCGGTTGAAGTGAGCAGAGGACATGTTGACCAGAAGGCTCTGGTGGGGACAGTAGTGACGCTGAGGACCAGGGAGGCAGCAGCTCAGACTCCGTCTGCACCCTCTTCCCTCCTCACACGTTTTTGAAGCTCCGGAGGTGGCCCGGGTCTCTCCCAAGGCCGTCCCATTGGCTGAACGGGCCTGCCAAGGGGCGGGGCGCCCCCCCACTTTGGCCACCCCCTTCCTCGTGATGTCAGGGCCTTGGTATTGGGAGCTAATTGTGTCATTGTTTCCACCTAGAGGGGCAGCCTGCATTATTCTGAGAAGGGGGCTTGATCAGACAGAGACCAACTTTCTCCCCCACCCCAGCCTGTCACTGTCCACTGAGTCTCTGGCTGAGTCTCTGAGGCACTTTATTTCTGAGGTCATCACCCTTTGTCCCTCTCCAATCTTGAGCCAAGACTGTCATCCCTGGTAGTTTAGCAAGCACCACCCCTGAGCTTAGCCCAGACACCAATAGTCTATATATAGCCTTAGGCAAGTCTCTTCTCTCTGGTCCTCTGTTGCCACATCTGTAAAATGGGCTAATGACAGCTCCTACCTTGTGTAGTGTTGTGAAGATCAGAACAAATGCTGCCTCCAACATGCACAGGAGAAGAACTCAGGCAATAGTAATATTTCTACTGAGGATCTGATACCCCAGTTCGGTCCCCTTCAGCCCCTCATAAGGCTCCAGGAGAGCAGAGATCTTGGATCTACTCTTCCCATCCACCTGTGGGTCACTCGAACCATGAGCTGACTGTTAGTGAGTCCTGGGCCTTGAATAATCACCTGTGTCCCTGTCCCAGACTGGCTAGACTAGTTGGATACTTGCCCTGCCTGGCCAGCTCTTACCCCTGGACCACAGGGGTAGATGTCATATCCACATTATGCAACATATGTCAAGGACACGACAGAGACACTTGGATGACATGCCAGCAACCTGCCACATGCTGATAAGATATTTTGCTTTTTTTTCCCCTGGTGGTGCTAGGCATTGACCCAGGGGTACTTTACCACTGAGCTACACCCACAGAATTTTATATGTTTTTATTTTGAAACAGGGTTTTGGCTTGCTAAGTTGCAGAGACTGGCCTCAAACTTGTGATCCTCCAGCCTCAGCCTACAGAGTTGTTGGGATTATAGACATACACCACTGCTCAGAATCTTTTTTTTTTTTTAATTGTTGTCTGGAAATGGAGCCCAGGGCCTCGTACATATTAGGCAAATACTGTACCACTGAGCGATACTCCCAGACCCTGCAGAGCAGAGAATTTGAATGAATGCAGGCCCCTGTCCCTAATGCTATGGGCTAAAGTCAGGGTTTCTCAACCTTGGCATCCAGTCAGGGCTGGATCATTCTTCCTGATGGGAAGCTGTCCTGGGTGCTGTAGGACTTTTTAAGCAACATCCCTGGCCTTTATTGATTAGATGCCAGTAGTATCCTCTTAGCTTGTCAAAATGTAGACAAACATTGCCAAGTGTCCTCTGGGGCTGGGGGTGGCAGTGGAGCAGATCGCCCCCATTTAAGAACCACTGGCCTAAGGCAACATGCTAAGAAACAGTTGATGGCATGTCACCATACAGTGACGGTACAATAAAATTCATCAAACTAGCTGGCAGTTAGCACCTACTATGTCCTAAGTGCTTTGGCTCAGTTAACTCATCCCTCACAGCAGCCTGTGAGGTGGCTCTGTATGAGGCACAGAGAAGCGAAGCCCGCAGTGCGGATCACACGGCTCGAGGATGGCACAGCTGGGAATCGAACGTGCAAATTACTGCCTGCTGCCCTCGCTGAGAGGACCGCAGGTCACTACTGCGCATGTGAGGACCGGTGCCTGGGCCCAGCTCGCAGTCGGCGCCCCCTGGCGGCCCGGGAGGGGCGGGGCCTGTGGGGGTTCGGGCGGCGGTGACGTCACGCGCTGACTCACCGGGCCGCGCTCCCCGGCCCGCGGCCGCTTGGCCATTTATAGAATCTGCGCTGCCTCTGAAGTCACGGTCCAGGCACGACGGGGGCGGGGTGGGGAGCTCTTGGCTCGCCCCCGACGGGGCAGCCCGGGGTCTCCCGAAAGGGCAGCCCTCCCTGAGTCTGTCCTCTCCGATTCTGGGTCTGTGACGCTGTACTTCTCGCCCTGATTCATCCCCGTCTCTGGGTCGCTCTTTGTCGGTCCTTCTGTGTCGCCAAGGTTTTTTTTTTTTTTTTTCTTTCAGTCTCTGCCTTTGCCTCTCTCTCTCCCTCTCTCTCTCTCTGATGGCGCTGTGAATCGGCCTGGCTCACTGTCTCTGCCCTCCTGTCTCATCGCTCCCTCCATTCTCTCTCCATCTCTCTCCATCTCCGTTTTAGTTCCAGGGCTCCGACGCATTCTGTGACTCTCTCTTGAGGTCGCTGTATGGTCTCTCTATCTGGAAGAGAGCGGTGGAGGCAGAGAGAAGGGGCTGATCCCAACCGGAGGCCCCAACCCTGGAGACAGCTCCATCTCCAAGTGCCCACCACGTGCAGCCCCCCTGCCCAGCTCCCAGCTGGCATTTCCCAGGCTTCAACCCCTCTGTGCCTCAGTTTCTCATCTAAATGAGAAGTGTGGGATCTTGGAAGGAACAGTGTTTCCTTCCAAGTCTCAGTCCTGAAAGAAAAACCCGTGCCTCCCCTCTGCTTGAGTGAACGCCCCAAACCTTGAACACAGCTCATCTCTGTCCCTGTGTATCCTGGGAGATGGTTGAAGTCCTATGCTGCATCTGCTTATGGTGGCAGCCCCTCTTTGCTGGCTCCCTCCTGGCCTAGCTTTTCCCTCCAGAAAACAGGTAGAGGCCATTGTTCCTAATGGCTTCTGTTTTGGGGTGCTCAGTTGGTACCAGACACTGTACCAGGCACAATCTCATTCAGTCCTCACCATAACCCATTGAGAATGGAAACTCTCAGATCTATTCCATGGGTAAGGAAACTCAAGGTTCAGAGAGGTCAAGCCACTCTCCCAGGGTCACACTGCTTATACCCTTCCTTCCAGATGCTTCCATATTTCTAGAGTCCCCAAGTATGTTCCCACCTCCAGGGCCTTTGTGCTGGCAGTTCCTGCCACCTGGAACACATCTCTGCAAGATGTCTGTGTGGCCTCTTCCTCCCTTAATTCAGTCTGTGCTCAGATGTCACTTCTTCAAAGAGGTCCTCCCTGAGCACCTGCTCTAAAGCAATAGCATGCCCCAATCCCATACTGCCCATGAGAGGGTGGGCAGGAGGGAGCTGTTCATTAAGTGTTTACATCTGGAAATGGGTGTTTTTTATCTCTCAAAACTTTAATTTTGGGCTGGGAGTGTAGCTCAGTGGTAAAGCACTTGCCTAACATGTGCAAAGCCCTAAATCCAATCCCCACCACTGAAAAACATTTTAATTAAAAAAATTGATTTATAAAAATAGCCATGCCACTCTCTTCTGTTCCTGTCCTTTTTTTCCCTTGCCCTCTCCTGACATCTTACAAATATGACTAAAGTGGGTGAGCAGGGACTGGAGCTCACATCTGTCTGACATGTGGATGCCTAACCATACACAAGGAAAGGGCATGATTTCCCAGCACCTTCTGGACGGAGGTCAGTAGAGGTATGGGGATTTTTTATATTTTCACTTTTCCTCTGCCTAGAAGAGCAATTAGGGGAGTGGGCAGGGAGTGTGTGTCACAGGCTGTGATGGGGGCTATAAAAACCATTCTACAACTTGTCCAGCCTGGACGATCCCTTATCTAACCTTGAGCTTTTGAATGAATTTTTTTTTTTTTGTAGAAAAAATATCTGGTAGAATAAACTTAAAAATTTTTTACTGGTGACTCTCAGACTGGCAAAATCAGAATATGTAACACTAGGCAATGCAGGGATGTGGGCAGTTTATTGAGAGTTTTCAAAATGACAAATGTCCTTAACTTCTGAATCAGCATATCCTCTTTTAAAGAATATTATGAAGAAGTACAAATGTAGATATGAAGAACAAGAATATGTGCAAGAATATTTATCACAGTGGCCTTATCACCCTGTGGGTCCATCAACAGGGGACAAAGGAGATAGACAAAGATGGATCCAGAATATACAGTACTTTTTTTTTTCAACTAAATGAAGTCACGGTGGCTCTGCATTTAAATGCAGGGGCTCTCAGCCAGTTGTGATGGCATACAACTACTGTAATCCAAGCTACTCTGAAGGATTGCAAGTTGGAGGCCAGCTTGGCTGACTTAGTGAGGCCCTGTCTCAAAATAAAATGGGCAGGGGAAGCTCAGTGGTAACTCAATGGCTTCGACCCCAGGACTGGTGGGGGGTAGTACTCTAGATCCCTGGCTTACAAGTTTGAAGCCTGCTCTGCTGCTTCCTGGCTGTGTGACCTTGAACAGATGTCTTAACTTTTCTGCACATCCATTCCCTCCTCTAGAAGATGGGTATGTCAATAGTGCCTGTTCCCTGGGTTTTCTTTTTAAAAAAGACTTTCTGAGATAATTTTAGACTTATAGAGGAGCTGAAAAAATAGTATAGAGACTTCTCATTTACACTTCACCCAGCTGCTCCTAATGTTAACATCTTACATAATCATCATAAATTTATAAAAACTAAGAAATTAACTTTGCTACAATTGCTATATTTTCATTCGGATTTCTTCAGTTTTTCCTTTTCCACTTATGTCTCAAGATTCAAGCCAAGATCCCTCCTTGCATTTAATTGTCATGTGTCTTTAGATTCCTCGAATATGTGAAGATGGGAGGGGAGGGGAGGGGGGATAGTAGGGGATAGGAAAGGTAGCAGAATACAACAGTCACTAATATGCCATTATGTAAAAACGTGAGTGTGTAACCGATGTGATACTGCAATTTGTATTTGGGGTAAAAATGGGAATTCATAACCCAATTGAGTCAAATGTATGAAAGATGATATGTCATGAGCTTTGTAACGTTTTGAACAACGACCTTGACAGTTTCGGAAAGTTATTTTGTCGACCCTCTCTTTGTTTGGTTTATGTCGATTAGATTGAAGTTTTGGCGTTGCTGGGAAGGATGCCAAAAAGATGACGATGTGCCCTAGTGCATCATTCCAAGGGCTTCATGATGTCACGATGACTCACTGCTGGTGATATTAACCATGGTCAATTGGTTAAGATGATGTCTGCCGGGATCCTCCACCCTGAAGCTGCCGCTTTTCTAGGGTGTGTGTGTG